TTTATTTTATTCAATAGGTCACTGTTTTGCTTTATCTTACTAACAACTTTATTAATGTCTAAGAAAACATTGTTTTGTTTATTCAGTCCATATTTAATACGGCTGGTGAATTAAATAATTCACCACCAAGTGGATGGATAGTAATAATAATAATAAATTTCAATTCAGCATATTGTTAAAAATATTTAGCCCTTGGGGTTATGGAAAGATCCTCTGGACCCAGGAAAAAAAAAACTCTGGTTTTTCTTAAGATTTATATGAGATGTTTGAGTTTTAGATTAATTCATTCATCGATAATTTGCATCCCTAGTAAAAAGAAATGAAGAAGGACATACAGGAGAGAAGGAGGAAGGGAGCAAGGAAAGATTTTCAAGAAGGAAGCAGGTGAAGATCAAGGATGGACGTATACGACGGAAGGAGAAAAGAAGTACGGATCAAAGGAAGGAGGTAGACTGCAAGCAAGGAAGGTAAGGAAGCATTAGGAGGGTTGGAGTAAAAGAAAATATCAAAACAAGTCGATCCTCGAGGGCCGCTGTCCTGCAGGTTTTAGAAGTGTCCCTGCCTCAGCACAGCTGATTCTGATGATTACAGTTCAGCAAAAGCCTGTTAATCAGCTATAAGTGGAACTCAGCTGTGCTGAAGCAGGGAAACCTGTAAAACCTGCCGGACAGCGACCCTCAGAGCCGACTTTGGACATGCCTGGTCTGAACGATGGGATGGAGAGGGAAGGAAACCCTGAGAACATCAGTGACTCCACACTATTTATCCAGGACACTGTCATCACATCAGAAAATATTTCCTACATAAAAAATCTTTACAAAATGAAAACATGATAATAAATCAGAAAATCTTGTAATCTCATCTCGTAAAAGGTAGTGAAAATAAAATGTCTAGTAAATTTGGACCACCCAGGTTTGTTTTCTGTCTCAGGTTTGATGTTAAAGATCAGCCTAGAACTCTCTACGTTTCTAGATTTAACATTGATTTACAAGATTCGCTCCTGCATGTGGTGACAGTGGGGAGGAAAACTCCCCTTTAACAAGAAGAAAGCAGAACAACAACAGAGGTAAATGGGAGCGTATTTACCCTTAATTTGAGCAGGTGAATAAGATGATTTAACAATGAAATTAGTATTTCTACTCTTAATATAAGATAGTTAGATAATATACACTTAAAATAAGAAAACCTAATTGTTTTTTTCTTATTTTGGCAAATTGCCTCACCTCCTCAGGAAAAAACAGACTTTAGATTAAACATTTTAGCGGTGATTAATAAAACAGATTTATTGATTATTCTCTCCTCTGGGCTGGATGATACACTAAAATGAATTATAGCTATATAAATAAACTGAATTAAATATATTCAATGTGATTCAGTTGCAGTTTAGAGAAATCTAATTTCCAAATCCTCTGCGATCTTTAAACCCAAAATCCCAACATTCCTTTGGCTCCTGGACGAAACAAAAAAAAAATCAGCAAAAAGATAAAAGCAAAGTTAACATCCAGGATGACCCTAAAGGCCTGGCCAATAAAACCCTCAATAAGAAAAGAACGTGGCAGCTTTACAGCTGCGGCTTCATCTAATAATCCAACCTTTATGTCGCCCTTGGCCATGTGCTGCAGCACCCAGATGCGGTGGGACCAGGCGTTGTAATTACTAGGATAGCGGCAGGCAGCATCAGAGCACACCTTCATCTCCTGGTGGATTAACCTGTCCAGGTGATTATTTAAAAGATGGGTCCGTTCTGCATCAGGCGGCTCTGCTTCAACCTGCTGCTGAGCTTTGTGGACCACAGCAGACATCTGATGCAGGATGTGCTGAAGCACCCAGCGCCTGCAGAGAGAGACAGTGGAACAGTTTTATCAGCAGAGGGTTCAGAATTAGACATTCTTTTTGCACATACAGTGGCTGGTTTCTGTTATTTAGGTGGAGGATTAAAGTCCTGCAGCTTCTACAGTTTAGTGGCAGCTCTGAAAAACCTGGGTAAGTACCTGGCTATCCACCTGAATGATTAACTAGACTGGTCTACGGTTCTCTAAGAGCAGAGGAGACTCTTCCGGCAGAGGAGTGCAGGGGGCGCTCCTATGACTCTGTTGTGGCATCAGCCATCTTCTATGGAGCTGTCTGTTGGAGCAGTGGCTTATCATGAGCTGAGAGGAAGCGGCTGGATCAGCTGATCAGGAAGGCCAGCTCTGTGATTGGATGCCCTCTGGACTTAGTGCAGTAGGGGGGGAAACAGACGGATCCTAACTAAATGAACATCTCTCTTGGATAATGTCTCCCCCCCATGCATGAAGCTGGTGCTGAACTGGACAGCTCCTTCAGCGGAAGACTGCTGCACCTTAAATGCACCAGGGAGCGTTATCACAAATCCTTCCTCCCAGCAGCTGGAAGACTCTAGAACCACCACTGTTCCCAGCAACCTCAATAAGTAATTAGACCATCCTGATCTCG